CTCGGGTCGTATGTTGCAGCTTGATAGGGCCTTATAAGGGCACCTTCCTTAAAAAACGCTACGCAGCGCCTGCTCAGGGTCGCAGGAATTCCGTCCTGCCAGGCGTATTAATCCTACTCGTCTTAGGGATTTATCGTGCCAACTGCCTTTAATTACTCAAGTAGTAAAGATAAGATACCTAGAGAAGACAGGCTCGGCGTAGTCAGAAGAGATAACGATCATAGGGCATTTCTCGAGCAGAGCATTCTCCATATTATCTTTTGCCATTTGATAGGTAGAAGGTGAAATCGACTGAAACAGTACCTATCAGATTTATAGGCTCATCATCTTCACAAGTTTTACATACCTTAAAAACACCTCCGTTGTAAACGTGGGGTGGTGAAGCTGTGCGGATTTTGTCTCGCTTCCTATAGAAGCAGATCACGATGAGCGGAAAGACGACAGTCAAGCTTAGCAGACACAGGAGTACTGTAAGAGTAATAAGTTCGTCATAGTGGTTCTTACCGTACACGCATTATAAGCTAACGGTGTTCATGAGCACTCACTCATTATTCCAATTCGTCCTTCCTCGGATTCGTCGATGGAGAAGTAAGTGATACTATCAGAATGCTCCTCGTCTGTGCCGAAGTGGATGAGATCGAGTCGTGCAGCAGTTGAATCGAAATGCACCTCCGACAGCAAAAGCCAGGCGGAACTCGATGGGAAGTATAGACGGATCTTTAATAGGACGTAGTTGGGTAAAATAGGATAAATAAAGGCAACAATAATATTCACCTGCACAACTGTGGCGATGCGATAAGGGATGGGAATCCGAACCCATGACGAGGAGGTCAATTGTTGCGGAATGAACTCAATCAGCCTCGAGGAGAAGTCGGCACCGTTGGTGGAAAATGATAGAACCGCCCGTGAGAAGACCTGTAAGAGATCTAGTTGAGAATGGATTTTTCGCTAGTTATACCTGTGCTACATTACAGCAATATGAATAAGTAACTCCGGCAATTTTGAAACTCCAGTCCACGTGTTTACTGGGCGACCCGTGGACAAAAATTGTGTAAGAAATATTCGAAGAATCTTCAAAGTGCCTCATCTCAAGCTTTCATGAAGTAGCATAGCTCGCATTTTACCGAGAGTCCATATCCATACCAGAGTACGGCACTATTTACCCTTTACTGCCCCAGTCATCCGAAATCAGGCCAGTTCCTGACCGACTTTTTTCTCCGTGGGCAGATTTTGCTCAAATGTTGTCTCCTGGGGTAGTTTGACCTCCAGAATACGAATAAGCCCACATTCGCTCAAAGCCCGGAAACTCTCCTGGCGCCCGCGCCACGGCGCCGAATTGATTTGGGGTATTTTGCGTCGGTGCCGTGTGCCGGGCGACCCAATAATGGTCCGTGTTGAGCGGAGTGATATTCGTGTTCAGAAGGTCAAAACTACCCCTGGAGCAAGTTTCCAGCGAACTCTGGTACGGGTTTCGAAGTAGTTTTGGCCGGCGCCCAGTAAGCGCGGCCGCTAGGAAAGGTTTCGAGTCAAGCGGATGCAATATTCGTGTTCAGCGGGTCGAACTACCCCTGGAACCAAGTTTTCAGCAAATTCTGCCCACGGAGAAAAAAGTCGGTCAGGAACTGGCCTGATTTCGGATGGCTGGGGCAGTAAAGGGTAAATAGTGCCTAATAATACAAGGACCATTCGGTGTGTAGGCTTCTGGTAACCAAACCCTATACTCTCTTTTGACATACGGTCCCCGCTTGCGGCGCACTTGGCAACGGGGGGCATTTTGCACTTTTGCTACTTCCCATCGACGTGTCAGCCACCTAGACAGCCTCCTCCCGAGTTGACAGGTTTTGTTATGATGGCTTGACGACCTTGCTCCAGCTTCACAGGTCTAAATGGTTTCGCCAGAGACTGAGAGACATCGTAAATAGGAACTAAGAGAAGCAAGAAAATACAAAAATGGCCCCGCCCCATTCCAATTTCCTGAACCCTTGCTTTCTGTTCCTGCTCTCTCCCCATCTGAACCTTACCTGTCAATCGTTGCAGCTCACGTTGCGTCCCTTTTTGCTCTCCACGATAATGGACTGTGAGTGATGTCAATCCAACCCACAGAGAAAAAGAATTTGGTATCGTTTCTAAAGACCAGAACGTTGGCTCACGATGTTCCTAGAAGAGTGACTAGTACAGCCAAATTCTAGTTTTTTTTTGGACCAAATAGGTTTTTGTCGCCGATTTTCCACTATGACTGGCGCTCGGGATCATTACATCCTTTGAAGCCAGCATTCCGAAAATTCGAAATGTAAGCCATAATTCTTAAAGGCAAACCTCGCGACTGCATATTGTGGATAGAGGCGTATAATTATGGCATAATTATAATTATAGTCAACACAGTTATACATCGCTAAGGTAACTCTCCCAGATACTGGAAAGGCAGAAAAACCCATGGAAAAACTTTGGACCTGCTTGTCTTTTGCTAGCAAAGCTATATCCCGCCGTCTCCTGCTATACTATGTTTTTTTAAGCGTCATCTTCAAAAGCTGATTACCAACCTAACAGTTAAAAAAATTGAAAAAAACCGGCTAAAAAAGTGAACTCCGTGACAAGAAAAGGGCCTTTGAGTTTTGTTGGGCGCAGAGGCCAGGGAGGCGTTGGAACCACAGTTGGTGAAGGGTTCTGCAGCGCTCTCTCCCGTGTTTACTGCGAATGCGCGAAAACGAAAACAATCTTAGGTATTGCATAACCAGACAACTCGAACGAGGAAGGACGCCTACGGAATTGGTTGAGCGCAGGGGATTGGACATAGGTCCTGGTCTAACAAGCTGAATACGAAATGCTAAGGTTCAAGAGGGCTGAGGTGAGTACATATTTCAACGCACATATGTGATTTCAAGAGTGCGACCATGAGTCAAGAGTGAGTTTTTTTACTAGAGCACTGTACTAATTTCCACAAAAATGCTAGGAAAAGGTGAGTTGGCAAAGGAATAACGAACTCTGTCGTTGGAAAATGGCTTTCTCAGGTAATCAAGCATTAGATTAGACTCAAAGATTATTGATGTTCTGGATTGAATGACTATCTTACTCGCTATGACTGGGGAGGTGTGAAGTGCCGCTTCTGCGGGTCGTAGCGCCTTCGTTACTGAGAAGCAGGCGAGAGAATGAGGACCAGTTTAGTTTAGTAGTACAAGGAAGGACACCTGCGAATCGCTTGAGCGCAAGGACTATCCTTGATAAAGAGACTATTTGGAAGAGCGACGGGGACTCCTAGGAGATCTATAAAAAATATAGGAATAGAAGTAAAAGTATCTGTGTACATGAATGACTAGGAATATCTACCAGATTTATATAGTAACCCGCGACAGTAAGTAAACGACGAGATAAAATGCCATGGCCCAATTCCAAAAACTCAACGATCTTTGTTGTGATCTCTTTTCGTAAGCTTTTTTAGTGAGACTTTTTCATGATGGCTAGCGCTTCCAAAATTAGAATTGCTAATTATCACGTTTTCTCGCGCCCTCACCCCTGATTAGTTTGTTTTGTCTCACACTCGATTTGCTCCGCTCCATACTTACTTGGCCACATGAATTCACTCACGCTGGGGAGAAGTATTGGAATTTTATGACTGGAACTGGAATTCCATGACGTCTTCCAAGGATGATAATAAAAGGATAAAGGATAAAGTCTTCGCCGTTGATCAATCCCTTTGTGGGATGCGGCACGCATTCTACTTCCATTCAGAATCGTAGTGGCTTATTGAATGCGATGTGGCCTATACAATGACTTGCGGTGGCCAGCCGATGTACAAGTCAGTGTTTTATCCTCCCAGACGAATCTGGTACCAATTTACCGTCCCCGGAGGGTAGAAGGCTTGGTTGGCCTGGGCGGGAGTCGACCCGGGATTTGAACCCGGCGCCGCGCGAGTGGTAAGCGCGCCACTTGTCACTACACCACCTCCGCCTATGGTTGCTAATAAAAAATGAAGATGTCGCCCAGAAACAAGAACGATTACGGATAAAGGATTGCATTTTATGAGACCTTTTTACTTGAACATTCGTCAACGAAATACCTGATAAACCTGACATCCACATTGGTCGGCATCGGAACTTCCCCCGACTATGCAAAGCGTGGCCAGGGTGCAGCATCGTTGTATGAAACACATGGGGGCGATCGTACTTTGCCGCTGGGGAGGAGGGAGGGGGTCGTTGTTGGGAGAGGGGGAGCGTATGCAATTTGCCGCGCTGAGGAAAAATTTTCCCGGTTGTTGACTTTCTGCAGTTTTTCCCGTTTCACATTGGCTCTATACGCCACCCCTAGTTGGTGGCGGCGCCAAAGTTCTATATAGTGTAGTTCGCTGCGGACGGTTGGGCGTGTCAGGCGGGATGAGTTTGGCGCGGTGCCAAACCCGTTCTCCACCAGTTGTTAAAGCGAGCAAATGATATGACTGTATCATATCGTTCGTATTACTCGTTTTCTACCACTTTTTGTCGCATGCGCGCTTCAACAAGAAGACTACAATATTTCCGATAGCTGAAAATAGTAGTTGGTTGCTCACGACCTCCCGCGCTCGACGGAAAATTTTTGGGTGAAAAACTGGTAGGAAGTTGGGAGCTTGTAGGGAAAAGGTGTTGGGGGGGGGGGTCGTAGCGAGACTCCTCCTTCGGGGCGCACTGACACTACTACCTCATTATCACTATGCTGTACTCTAAGCGTGGCACAGTTTAGGTGAATGGGACCCTCAGTCACCTACTTTTTCGTTGCAGTTCATCCCTATGCATTAGAACTGAAGAACATCTGTGAGCGGCCGACGAAACATTATCGACGGCAAGCACCATCAAACAGTAGTGATTTATGGGGCGGGGCTAAATTACTGGTGGACCAATATTTCGATACCATTTCGACAACAATTCCAGCAACCAGTTCTTAACCACAAGCATAATTTACTGCAAAAATGGCAACCCAAAAAATAGAAGCGTATGTAAAATGGTCGTTTTGAGCTTCACGCAGTCCTTCAGGCGGCATCGCTTGCGGCGCGTGGGTACTGATTTCGAGTTTCAAAAAGCTCTGCTTTGAGTAAGCTCAATTTTGGATGTTTGGTAGAGTAGTTTTCTCTCCAAAACAGCCCGACAGTACCCACGTGCCGCAAACGATGCCGCCTGAAGGACCCACAGAAAATGCGACCCCTACAGAAAGTCCGGAGGGCTGGAGGACCGTTTATCGTCTCTGATGAGGTCAACGAGCACCTGGGACTTCCTGGACCACTCTCGCATCTTGGACTGAAGCAGAATTTCGCTCATAATTCCAGTATGCCCTATGAGGTGGAAATCAACCTGTAATTTGAGAACATTATCCGGAGTAACGCCGGGGAAACAAGTAAAGTTTCCT